TGGCTTCAAAGTTGTCCAACTGTCTTGAGAAGTCTTAACTAAAGTCTCAGTTTGGAAGTAGAACAAATTAAAAAATATAATTTTTTTAACTTTTAAAATGCTGTTCCCCTACCATTACACAAGCAGGGCGCTCCATCCTGCCAACAGAGCTGAGGGCCCTGCCTACCAAACACCACACATAACAGACATGCTAGCTACTAAAAAGGGAGGTAGTGTTTCCCCCACACTCAGCCCCCGACAAAAATCACAGAAGAGATGAGCGCCCTGCCAGGGCAGGTAACTTTGAAATCTTAGTGGCTACATGAGAAGGGTCATATTTGGCCCTCGGGCCTCGAGTTTGACTTTAGTTGTGGTTGTAAAACCAGCACTAAATCTCACTAAGGAACCATTTGTTGGTAGAACCCATGTGCAGGCAGGACTCAGAGAACTCTGGATTTAAAGTAGAATATATATTTAATAAAGATAAAACAAACGCTGACATGCAGCAAACACATAGTCTTAGGGATGACACAGAGGAAGATTCAATTCAATTCAGTTTATTTCTATATCACCAAATCACAACAAGTTGTCTCAGGGACTTTACAGGAACATTCACATAAAAGACAATTAGTAAAGTTCTTTATCTAAGGAATCCAGCAGACAAGTTGAATCTTGGCTTCATGCAGTCTCCCATCCTGAGCAAGCACAGTGGAGACAGTGGAAAGAAAAACTCCCTTTAACAGGAAGAAACCTCCAGCAGAACCAGGATCAGGACAAGAGACCATCTGCTTTGACCGGCTGGTTGAGAGGACAGGAAGGAGAGACAGACGAACACAGAATGGTAGATGAACCATAACCATTGATCTGGACACTGGCCTCTCTGCAGTCTGTGTACCTGAGGGTGCAGCCGTGAAGTGCAGAGTGATCAACCTGTCCATTGAACTTAACACGCCTCCGGTCTGAGCAGCGCTCTGAGAACAGGCTAGCACTTACGTGTTGCGTTGTGTTTGTCACGGAGATGAGCCAAGCCAGAGCCCCTGTTGCTGTCACTCGGACACAAGTTTTTCCCAGGGTGAGCAATGGAGGACTTGGCCCTAAAGTGCTGTGAAGAGGAGGAGGATGGAGAAAGCTGTGTCCACATGAGCAGAGTTCATGGTCTCATATTACAGCTGTCTATAGAGGCCATATGTTTTAGAAAATGGTGAGATCATAGTGCCTTTAAATGATAAGTTACAGTCTCACTGTGTGGAGGATGTGTGAAGAAAGTACAACAGTTCTGTGTCTGACTGAAGAATGAACCCCTGCAGGAATCTTGCTGTCAAAATGTTTCTGTTTCACAGTGTTTAATAACACCAGCAGAACTTATGAGCATGTATCAGGAGACTAGCAGATCTTTTGAGCATGTATCAGGAGACTAGCAGAACTTATGAGCATGTATCAGGAGACTAGCAGAACTTTTGTGTGCTCAGACCAGCCCGTCTGGTCCTGCCTGGCTAAAATAATCCCTAATGTCTCAGTGTTTGTTGAATATTTTGGGTTATCAGCTAAATTGTGTTCTTGCTTTGTAGGTTTTTTTAAATTATTGAATTATAAATTACTATACAAATTAAAAATCCATGTGTTCTGTATATAAAAGATGGACAGTACTTTTATTAATCATTTTTATACACAAAGAAATGTTTCATTTTGTATTAGTGCCACTAGATGGTGGTGTCCCATCTGAAATTACATCACATCAATACGATCATTTTTATTACAGCACTAACATTAGAGATTTGATCACTGTCAGATTCTCATTTACCAGAATCTTATATGTTAATTTGTGTGTGTTATCTATATATTTTATTATATTATATATTATAGTTTCTATTTTTTTCCTGGATCACTGCTGTTCTGTGTGGAGTTCATGTTTTCTTTCGGGTTATTTGGGAAATCAGGCTTCAACAGGTAACAAAAAAGCAGAGGTGGAAGTAGTACTGAAAACTTGTACTCAAGTACAAGTACTGTTACACTGCTTAAATTGTACTCAATTACAAGTAAAAGTGCTGGTGTTATAAAAATACTCAAGTAAAAGTACAAAGTACTCTTCTCAAAAACTACTCAGAGTATGAATGACTTTTTAACCACTTGATGTTTTATTGTGTTGTCAACAGAAGTCATTCAGTTTGATCTACTGTGTATAATAACTACATTCAAAGCACATTTCTCAGGTGCTCAGAAGCTCCGTCTTATTTTAGTACCAGGCGAACCGATGGCAGTGACAGTATCTAAGATCTTTACATACTTAGTCAAACTAATAACACACACAAACAATAAAACTCAATATCATGCAGGTAGCTGTAAAACCTCGTATACTGCAATATGTTTTTTGAGATTAGATGCTGGAGTCTTGTCAGCTGCTTCACCGTAGAGATCAGAGTTTGCATCTGGACACTGTCTCCTTTTCACCCTCTGTTCATGAAACATTCCTCCAGGTACGGCCACGAGCACTTGTCCTCAACCTTTACCTCGTCATTTTCTCTGTTGACAGTGTTGTCCTCTGTCTCCATTTTGGCTTTTCCTCCAAATCTTCGGTCCATAAACGACTCTCTACGCTACAGAGTTGTTCTTTGCTTACGTCATAGGTAATTGGTGCGTTCATGATCTGAGAGCCTTGTTGGCTACAAAGATGCAGATGAACGGTTTGAATATTAATTCAACTTGTGGCCGTACTCAGTAACGACTTCTGATTTTAAAAGTAGCAAAGTACATTACATGGTCTAAATCAGGGGTCACCAACCTTTTAGAGATCGAGAGCTACTTGAGTGGGACCAAGAGACACGACGGGCTTCTTGTTTGATACAAACAAATTTTCACGGCTCACCTTTAATTATAGCATTAATAATATATTTACATACATGACGTGAATACATGCCTGATCACATCTGATCAGATCTGTATTATTAAAACCTCCCCACAGTGATTATCAGTAAGGATTTAACTTGGTAAATATGATCAATTATTATTGATAATTAGTGATTAGAACTCTCAGTCGAGAACTTGAGTCCTCAGTTTGAATCCTTTTTGGTTCTTCTGTGCATCTGTACGTTGTTCCTAGCTGTGACTGGGAGTGTGGATGGTTGTTTGTCTCTTTGTCTCTGGGACAGACTGGAGACCTGTCCTGGCTGTCCCCTTCACCCAAAAGCAGCAGAGACTGGCTCCAGTCCCAAACAAGAGGACATAATGGACGACTTATTAACTGATATAAACATAAAACACTATTTATTTTATGTTAATCTCAATCTGTAACATTTGAAATTCAGTGTATTTTATAAATATTTTATGAACTGTTTTGTAGGAATGAACACATTTGTAATGTTCATTCAAATATGTCTTTTAGTAATGACAAGTTCTGTAACATTTTTAATAACCTATTAATGATAAAATCTTCCAATCAAGTCCTGTTTGCACCAAGTGTTTGTAACATTTCAGAAGAACTCTAACTTATAGATACAAATGATCAGTAATGTAATAAACAAAGTGACATTTTAAATGAATCATGTGACATTAGTATTGATCCTCAGATCTGCAGCATTTTTAATAATAATACTTTATTTATAAAGCCCTTCAAAACAACCACAGCTGCAACAAAGTGCTGTTCATATAAAATCATTTTAACTAATCATCACATCTTTTATTCTTTTAAATAAAATGTTTTTCACATATTTCATCATTGCTTCTTTCAAGACCTCATCTGAAAATGCCTCATGAAAAACATCTGCCTGCTCAAAGCTGCCTTTAACTCTGACCAACCAAGTCCAGGCTCAATCTCTTTAGCTCTGACCTTCTTCTGTCTGTTGTGAGCCCCCAGGGACTAGTTAGCATTGAAGCTAGCATGTTAGCTGATGAGGTGTCTCCATGTTGTGTTTTGCTGTCGCCACAGCCTCTGATGACACAGACACGCTTGTCTTTCACAACTGTAAAATGACCTCTTCCTCCCTGTCACTGTGAACATGTTTTCTTATGTTTTTCTGACATTTTAACCTCCGGGAGGTAAAACTAGCTTGTAGCTGCACTGCTGCAGAGATGGGAGTGGTCTATGCCTGATTCTGAACTTTGACCCCAGACAAGACTGCTAAACTGTATATATAAAACTAATCCTTTTTAAAATTTGTATTCATTTTTATTCCAAATATACATCCTTACAAATGTTATTTCTTAAATTTAAAAATATAATTCATGACGATGTTTAGGTGGTGCTGCTTGATGATGAGTGCTATTTTTAGAACATGCCCCATGGGCAACTCATGTGATCCCTGCGGGCACCGTGTTGGTGACCCCCGGTCTAAATTGTACTTAAGTATGAGTAAAATTACACACTTGAAATAAATACTCATAAAAGTACAAGTATCCAAAAAATCTACTTATTTATTGTAATGTGAGTATTTGTAATTCATTACTTCCACCCCTGCACAAAAGTGGACATTAGGTTGAAGACAATTAGAGAGAATTTACAGCTTATTAATGTGTTTATAATTTTATTATCATAAACAGGTAAGCAAACAAACTGTCTTTTAAAACACAAAAAAAGGTAAAGTCATGTCATCTGGACAAGTTTCTTTGGTTAAATCATGTCCAGATGACATTTAACTTTGTTGTGCTTTATCTTCCTGGATGATTGAGCTTACAAACTAACAAACAAGCTTAGAAACCTTTTCTGTCTTTTTAAACCATCTGCATTATGGACCAAGTTTAGAAACGATCAGTTTATATATGATGTAAAATAGAGTTGGACATAATAAAGGACATGTGTTTACAAAGACAAGTTTTTATGATTTCTCAACATTCTGAGACATATTATTCTGTAATTATCAAATGCATTCAGTTACTTTTGTGGCTGTTGAGTGTACAAGTCATTGTAAAACTCCCCTTTAGCTGCACAGGATTAATGAGTTTTGTTGTAAAAATGGTTTTCCTACCCACCTGACCCTCTTCAATTCCTATTTTCCCTGTCCACCCCCACCTCTCTTTGTCTTTTCCAGGTCTATTTATGATGACCAGCCCAATGCTCACAAGCGCTTCATGGAAAAGCTGGATGCCAGGATAAGGAACCACGATCGGGAGATTGAAAAAATGTGCAATTTTCACCATCAAGGCTTTGTGGATGCTATCACAGAGCTTCTTAAAGTTCGTGCTGATGCTGAGAAACTAATGGTATGTACAGTAATCACACAAGGTGCTACCGGTATATACTGAACAGAAACGGGTTTCAATAATCCATCCATCCATCCATTATCTTTACCCGCTTCTTCCATTTTGAGTCACGGGGGTCGCTGGTGCCCATGTCCAGCAGTCACTATGCGAGGGGCGGGGGACACATTGGACAGGTCTCCAGTCCATCACAGAGACACACAGAGACAAACGAGACAAACAACCATTCACTCTCTCACTCACACCTAGGGTCAATTTAGAGTTACCAATCAGCCTAACATGCATGTTTTTGGTCTGTGGGAGGAAACCGGAGTACCCGGAGAAAACCCACGCATGCACGGAGAGAACATGCAAACTCCACCCAGAAAGGTCCCTGGATCGGGATTTGAACCAGGGACCTGAGAGGCAGCAGCTCTACCAGTTGCACCACCGTGCTGCTGGGTTTCAATAATGATTTCTGAATTGAAACAGATTTATTTTCTCAAAATGTCCTCCAAGGTTCTAACTTATCGTATGTTATTTGAATAGTTTCCATCAGTATATGACGCATAGGAAAAGACAGAGGGAGCAAATTACTTCAGTTATCTGTATGTAATAATGCATTGTTGTGCAAGTTAGTGTGCACTCGCAAGCACTGGTTTTGTTTTCCTTTTTCCTGTCTGGTTTTTGTGTTTCGGGGTGAGCATGAGCAGTAGTAGTAGTTCTTGGTTCCCCCTGTCCTCAGGGGTGCAGCTTCTCACTTCATCAGCACGAAGCTTGTCCCATCGATCTCTTGGCTGAGCTTGAGTCTTGTGCATGTTTATCACCAGTTTCATCGCTCAAACCTGGAGAGGTGAGTTAATTGTTGGGAAAAGTGCTGCAGTTGTTTCATGAAAACAACCTCTACGTCTGAGTCAGAAAACCAGGTTTCATCTAAGTCCAACTGCTCTTGACTGTTCACGGTTAAAATGATCAAAAAGCTGACTGGTCACTTGGGTCATGACTCTCAGCTGTGACAGGAGCCAAGAGTTCAAAACATCCACAACTAATACTGAGAAGTTTTTACCGACTCTGTAAAAAAATAACAACAAAACAAAGAGCCTGTCACACGCAATTAAATCCATGAAAGTCCTTGTGCACCAATAAATTCATGTCCCCGCTGCCCGGTTAATCTGAATTTGCCTGCCTTTGTCCCTGCTCCTTCATGGACAATGAGCTGAATTCAAAGCTGCGCTGCTGCAGTGAGAGAGGTAAGGTAGGGAAAGAGAAGGCATGAAGAGTGGGAGCAGTTCAACACTAGAGGTCAGACACACGTTGCACCTCTTGGCATGGGTTCGTTTCCACTTTTAAGGTGGCTTTTAGAAGTTAAAACATCAAAACTGCTACAATGATTTCTGTTACTATTTCTGCAGTTTAAATTCATTTGAATGAAATCCCAGAAACTGTGCAGGGTTTTCTCTGGTCAAATGTAGCTCAGAGTCCCTGTAGTTCTCCCTCTTCCAGCTTTTTATTCTATTTGTTGGTTGAAGCTGTCAGTCAGTTGTATTTAAGGCCAGAAGAGAGTTACTTTAAGCTTTCCACCTCATAAAGAAAAATCAGCTGTAAGAGATTTATTTCTGTATCATAAAACACAGTGAAGTGACAGCAATCTCATTTTAAGGTAAGACTTCTTTTAAACTAATGTGTAAGAAATGGTGTGCTGCAGCCTTGTTATGGAGGCTAATAGCACAGCTAATCAATGCACTAACATCATCTGGCCAGAATCTCGCAGTTTCTAAAGCAGGATGTTGGGTAACAAAGTAAAGTTCTGCACAATGCTAAATGGACTGTACTGATGAAGCACCTTTCTATACAACCAGGATATTCAAAGCACTTTACAACAAAATCTGTGCCCTCATTTACCTCCACAAGCACAATCATACAGCACTCTACTGCATCTGTACAAACACAAAATCTGAATAAATCACTGTACAGACTAGTGCTTTAGATCATGTTCTCACACCAGTGAGACACATAGGAGGCAGTGAGGGTTCACTGTCTTGCTCACTAATATTGAGACAGCATAATCATTTTAAAACTATAATTAAATTTAGCTTCTTTTCTTTTCTTAGTTCATTCACCTTTGTGTGGATCACTTAGACTACAAGCATGTCTTAAAGACATAAAAACCTGGATGACCCTTAATTTTCTCCTGTTGAACAGAGACAAGACTGAGGTTTTAGGTTTTGGACCTGAGCACCTTAGGAATGAATGTTTCAGTCTTTCTCCCTCCTTAGATGCATTAATCTGTCCTCCAGCTCTAATGTTAAAAATCTTGGTATTATTTTTGATCAGGACATGTCTTTTATCCCCCACATTAAAAACGTTACTAGAACCTCCTTCTTCCACCTGCGTAATATCACTAACATTAGAAACATCTGATCTAAAGATGATGCAGAAAAACTGGTCCATGCATTTGTCACGTCTAGACTGGACTATTGCAATGGTTTATTATCTGGGTGTCCAAATACTTCTTTAAAACGTCTTCAGTTGATCCAAAATGCTGCTGCCACAGTCTTAACTGGAGTTACTGGGAGAGATCATGTCTCTCCAGTTTTAGCTTCTCTCCATTGGCTCCCTGTCAAATCCAGAACAGAATTCAAAATCTTACTTCTAACCTACAAAGCTCTCAACAACCTAGCTCCATCTTATATTACAGATCTTATTGTTCCATATTTTCCTAACAGAGCACTTCGCTCTCAGGCTGCAGGTTTACTTGTGGTTCCTAGAATTTACAAAAACAGAATGGGAGGAAGATCTTCCAGTTCTCAGGCTCCTCTCTTGTGGAACCAACTTCCAGTTTCTGTCCATGAGGCTGACACATTGTCCAGTTTAAGACTGGGATTAAGACTTTCCTTTTTAATAAATCCTATAGTTAGAGTTGACTTGTTTTGCTGCTATAGGCTTAAACTACTTGAGGACAAACTGACCTCATTTCCTTAAATGAATTGTTAAAACTGAATAGTTTTCATTTGATACTATTTCTGTCTTAACATGTGATTCTTGACCTGCCATTGTGTATCTGTTCCTCTCAACCCCTTGGTCGAAGCAGATGGTCCTCTTGTCCTGATCCTGGTTCTGCTAACGGGTTCTTCCTCATGAAGGAGTTTTTCTTTCCACTGTCGCCTTCATGCTTGTTCAAGATGAGAGTTCTGTGATGGAGTTAAACTCAAAGCTGCTCCTCAGATAAATAACGTTCAATTATTATTTTATATTAAAAATAAAAATCCATAAATTAGCTGCAGCATTGTAAAAAACGTTGTGGCTTATAGACCAACAATTGTGGTAGTTTTTATAAAACCTTTTTCCAAATGTCAAGACAGTGCACGTGTTACAAACTTTATTCATCCGAGTCCTGATATACTGTTTATGGTGTAATAAACCATAATATGCATGTTCACTTTAATTAAAGAACATAAGACTATGGTTGTCTTTAAAGTCCGGGAGTGTTTTGCATTTTGAAGGTGAATTCTGAACAGATTAAAATAATGAGATGTTGAAGGCTGTAAAGTTCAAGTGATGTCTGGGTTTGTTTTTAAAGGGCCAAGTGACAGACACTAATCGAAGATTACAAGAAGCTGGGAAGGAAGTAAGTTCATGTTTGAGCATCTGCCTAAATTTGCTAAAGACCAAACCATTCTTTTTGTTTTCCTTTCTCAACATGTACAAGGTCATTAACTGCATGTGCTGTTACATATTGGACATAACCGTTCTTTTATTTCACTAAACTACAGTGTCCTCATTTGTTGTGTTTCCCTCCCGTAGGTAACAGCTCAGACAGAGGAGGTGATTCGCTGTCGGATCCAGCAGAGGAACATGACCACCACTGTGGAGAAGCTTCAGCTCTGTTTACCAGGTTAGTACAGCGACTAGTGCTCATCCTATTCATCGTTAATTAATATCTATTTAAGCTCACCAGATGCACAGTTTAAGTATTTATTACTTGTCATTTTTCTGACAATAAATGAGAAAAGGAATGCAGACCCTTCTGCAGAACAGGCAGTGTCATCAGTGTGGCTGCTGTTTGTTTGAGACAACGTGCTGTTATACAGACAGAGCAGTGAGTGCTGTGAAACATGCCAAGGGCCTCAAGGTGACAAGCTTAAACTCTTACTGTTCAAAGATCACTGTAAATAATTGACTTATGCAGCGTTTGTTTTACCTTTTAAGACTAATCCTGGTCATTCAGTGACAGATGATAGTTGGAAATTTACAAGCACATTGATAGAAACCAGTTCTGTTGCTTTGTCTTTAGCTGTTGACACTGATATCGAGACGAGGATTTGAAAGCAGTTTTGCCTGTCAGAAGAAGATAGTCATACTGGCTCATGATTTGCTCGTAGGAACTTGCTAGGTAAATTAAGGTTTGTCCTATAATCAGCATCACAGGTGCCTTCAAGCTTGAGCAGGAGCTTTGGCTCATTTCTGAACTCATGCCTTTCAAATTGTTCTGGAGAGAAAAATGCTGCCCAAGATATTTTCACAAAGATTTTTTTAACTATTAATTAAATAAAATTAAATTAGGCGGTGGACTTTCATGTGTACAAAAAAAATTTGAGTCAAAATATATATTTTCTGCTTTAATCCATGAACATATGAGACACAAGTTTTAGAACAAGATGTAGTAGTTCAGCTGCCTTGTACTGTAGGATCAGAACTGAGTCACAAAACTCATGTACGGCTAACCTCATTCCAGTGGACTGAAATATTTGTTCTGGCTTTGACTCTTCCTAAAAAAACATATTGTTATTAAGGGTAAATTTGATAAAAATCTTGCAACAACAAACTCATCCTGTTTCCTGTTTTTATTTTTAATCTTTGCAGTCCTTGAAATGTACAGCAAACTAAGGGAGCAGCTGGAATCCAAAAGGTAACCATATCAAAAATATTTCACTTCAGCTTAGAAAGATGTAATATTCCAACTTTTCCATTGGCAAGGGGTCACCTTTACCTCCAATGTGCCTGCACACAATATACTGTAGGTCATGGCATCTAATAAATGAATAAGCATCTGTTCATGTTTGCACGCTGCCAGTTCACTGCAGCTGGAAGAGACCATCATCACCCCCTCACTGCACAGTCAGAAATCAGGGAAGGGATCGCTCCAGGCTGCAGGAGGACGTTGCCACAGGCAGCTCGTACTGATAACAATAAAATAATTAAAACGACTATATTTGTTTCATTTGTCAGAGTCTGTGTTTAACATGTGAGAGCTGATTGTTACAAGGCAACTTTGCAGCTCACACAATCTTTCTGGGACTCTCACAGAGACGACTTTGTGAGTTTGGGGGAAAATAAAATAAAGTTAAAGAGAGACACATCCAGTAATTCTCATTCAGACATCTTTGCATTAATCTGGGGCCTATAAATGTCCGTGTCTTGGTGTTAATAATGTTTAGTTATAAGAGTTAAACTAGCAGAAACACCCAACCTCCAACTCTCCCATTGGACGACAACTGCTCTAACCAATCTGCCACAGCTGCTCTCACATAAAACAATGTGTCATTTTTGTTTTTAACATTGTTTCACGTTACATTATCACTACTTGTATTGCAAGGAAATAAATCTTGAAACGCAATTTCTTTGAATTACACGTTTTATTTTATTTTATTGCATTTATGATTCAGTGCAGCAAAATAAACAAATAAAAAGTTAAGAGCTCATTGTAATACTTTATTTACGTAATGACTTGAATTGCTGGAGGTCTGGCCCCTGAGCTGCTGGCCTTCACTAACTGTGTTGGTTGAATAGCCCTGCACTCAACTTTCATGTGGTAGCAGCCACGTGTGTTACAAATCACATGTTTAACTTGTTGCAAATGTTGACATGCAAGTCTGCAGAGGATTGCATACCTTCAACGAGTGCTACTTTAATTTAATAATGCTTTTCCAATTCAATGGTGCATATTTTTATTCAATTAATTATAATAATAATATTGTTATTATTATTTAATAAACCCTCTAAGTTTATAAAGTTTAGAATAGCATGCAGCCAGGTGGGTAAACAATAAGTGGTTTGTAAAAGATTCATAATGTACAATTTCAGTTTCTGTAATTTGAAATATGTCATTTTTATGTCCAAGTGGTAATTTAAGACTGATTTTGGATTAGAATAAGCTTTTCAGGGAGCTTTACCTCAATCAAAATTCTTTGTTGTTGTAGGTATTATGCTGCACTGAAAACCATGGAGCAGCTGGAGAACGTTTATATACCAAGGTGAGGTCACACCATCATTGCAGCTGAACTGCCTGCATGGCTGAGCAGTATACCACCTCGTCTGGTGCTTCACTTTTAATTTTATATTTTTATTTCTTTTTTTAGTGGTTTTATACAAAGACTTGAAGGAAAAGGTGCACTCTCTTTTAAAGTGATAATCCATCAACTTTGAAGTGATGTTCTGTCATCATAGTTGGTACCGAATCAGCTGTGACATCATAGATGGGGTTCCCAGCGACTCTGGAAACCAGGGAAAACCTGGAAAATGACCTTCACATTTTCCAGACAGGGAAAACCCAGGGAATTTGAGGAAAATATATAAAAAACGGTGGATGTGACCACTGACCTGCTGCTTAAATGATGATCTTTCTGAGATTTTAACGTGTACATGTATTAATGCGAGTCTTGTTGTATCATTGGGTTCATGGTCTGCTTCTACAGAATGAATATAGCACATGTATACTTACTGATTGGCTGTGGTAGCTTTTTTAATATCTGATGTCATACAATATAAGTAGCAATTAGGATTTATTTCTTATGTACACAACGTAGGCCACAGTATACTACTCTAGTTCTGAGCATTTTGTGAGACTGAAATATCTCCTTGAATTTCAGGGTTTACTTGTGTAAAAAATCAGGGAAAACTGGGAATTTTGTTTTCATAAAATGCTGTAATGTGTGATGGAGGACAGGGTATGGAGATAAAACAAAAGACTTAATGGTGTAATTTTGGATGGTTAGCTAAATGCCAGTTTTTATATCGTTTTCAGGCTTATACAACAACTTCTTCTCAAAAAGGAGTGTGAAAAGTCACAAGTGTGAAAAACACTACATCAGCCAACATTAATGCTACATAAACTAATATTAAACACTTTGCATGACATCATTTGTTTAGTTAGTCTCTGTTTTTTCAGTTCAATTCAGTTTAATTATAAAGCACCAAATCACAACAAAGTTCTCTCAGGGACTTTACTGGAACATTCACTTAAAAGCCAATTAGTAAAGTTCTCCATCTGAGGAATCCAGCAGACAAGTTGAATCTTGGCTTTGTTGCAGTCTCCCATCCTGAGCAAGCACAGTGGAGACAGTGGAAAGAAAAACTCCCTTTAACAGGAAGAAACCTCCAGCAGAACCAGGATCAGGACAAGAGGCCATCTGCTTCAGTGTGAACATAGGTTGTGTTTCTATGTTAGTGTGTGTGTTCCAATAATTCAGTGCACCCGAGGCAAATATCAGTTCCATGACAGACATAAAACTTGAATGGCTTGGTACAAATTCATGTTTTGTTACATCCCAAGTATTTGCTGATAAGTGTCAAATGCAATGTTTAGTTTAGTTGTTCCACTGTTAGATAATAAATGTAGATAAAGTGTTGGATTAGACTGTAAACTGTTTTGTGAACATGAGTTCTGCTGTCTCCCTCTGCAGGGTCAGCAAGTACAGGTTCTGTCAGATTATGGCTGAAAACCTGCCCAGACTGAGAGAGGAGATCAAGGAGATCTCGATGTCAGACCTCAAAGACTTCCTGGAGAGCATTCGCAAACATTCAGACAAGGTCGGAGAGGCTGCGATGAGACAGGTATGAGACTATATTTACAACAGTGTAACAGCTGCCATACACACTGTTACGGTTTTTGTTAAAGCTGTGTGTGTGTGTGTTTGTGTGTGTGTGTGTGTGTGTGTACGGTCAGGCACAACAACACAGGACCTTTAACAGTGCTGTTGCAAAGCAGCTCAATATAGGGCACTACACAAAGCCAGTGTATTCCTTCAATGGACGAACACACATCCATGTTCCCAACGGCCTGTTGATGAACGATGACACAAGAGACGAGGAGGAAGCTGATGAAGAGGTGAGGAAATGACATGTCTTCTTCAGTGTGACCAGTAGTGTTTGTACTAAAATAAAGATTCTGCTTTTGTTCAATAATCTATACATGCAGTGTGTGCTGTGATGTTTCAAAAAGTTAATAGGTAAAGTTTCATCAACCTGATAAGAGTTCTTTAGTGCCTTCTTTCAGAAACATTGAAGTGGCCAGTTTGGGCCTTCCTATGCAGAATAGCATCCATGTTTTCCTTTTGTGCTCCTCATTGTTTCTTTGACATACTTCAAGGACATTTTACTTTCTGTGATAGTTGTCATGTTTGTGTCTAACAGGTTCTTACAGCTCAGGACCTGGTGGACTTCTCACCTGTCTACAGGTGTCTACATATTTACACTGTGCTGGTGGGTGTCATTGTTGCTTACACACAGTTTGTTTTTTCTGAAGAAGTGTTAAAACACATTTCACAAGTACTGTATAGTCATGGTACTAAAAAGTTTACTCTCATCCTAAGCTTTTATGATTTCCATGTGTCCTTAAAGTGCTTAAGTAAAACACTCACTGTAAAAACAAGTTGAGTCCCTAGAAGAAGTGGCACAAATGAAATAAAATGTCGTGTTCTTCATTCAACCTTTATTTCTACAGGTTAGTCTCACTGAGTCACGAAGACTCATTTACAGCAGAGACCTGTTTTAAACAAAGAACACAAAATAAACACATATAAATAAATAACAACAATAAACCATCATAAAACAGCAAATAAAATTAAAAGTAGATAAAAGTAGCCTTGTAAAATGAAATAAAACGAGCTACATTATAAAACGGTAAAATGCTTAAAACGTGTTAAAACAACACTCGCTCTCGCTGTGAGTTGATCGCGCTGAACTCCATTCAGCTCCTGTAGATTTTTTTGGTGCTTGAAAAATAACTTTGAGCCTCCGTCAGAAAGGAGGGGGGAGTTGTTTATCTGTTTGTTGGGGGTGGGAGGTGAAGGCGGAGGGTGATGGGGGTGTTTGGTCCTGAGACCACCCGTCTTTGTCTCCGCCTCACTCTAACGCACTTCAGACATGACGATGGTGTTCAGAAAAAGATGTGGCGTGGATTATTGATCATAACTCTGTGGTCCTGAGCACTTGGAGCATAGCCCTCCCTCAGGCCTGAGTGTGAGCAGTGGTTTGGTGCAGAAAAGAATCACACAGCTTGTTAATAAAGTGTGTCTCTGTAATTCTTTGTGTCTGCAGGGTGATCGAGAAACATTTGAGAACTACTACAGGAAACAGAGGAAAAAGCAGGCCCGTCTAGTGTTGCAGCCACAGGCTAACATGGTGAGGCATTTCTTCAGACTGTTTGTTTTAAAACAGCATTACTTTGAAAAGTGAGATGTATGGCACTCGTTTGGTAGATAAGCCATGACTCGCTGTTTTCTACTGAATAAAATGTACAACCAGCTGACTTTTCTTTTAAAAATTAACCTCAAATTTGAGGAAATTCCCCAGTTTGGCTGAACACAACCGAATGACAACAACTCCTGTCACAAATGGGATAATAAATGTTTTCCCCATCTCTGTTGTCTTATACTTAGTGACTTAAATCTTGGAAATGGTATGATGACAAAAATAAAAAAGTGGTTTTGTTACTGTGGTGTACCTTGAAACCAGATATCAGCACTTGCATACATGTCACCATTTGAGTATTTCTGTTTTTGATTTTGCACTGGTGGTACTGTGCTTATTTGTAATTCCTATAACTATGCTCATTGTGTTTTTTTACTCCTGTTAGGTGGCACTTTCTTGGCTCAATATAAACTCTTGGAAAATGGAAAGTAATTGGTTTGATTGGCTGAGCAAATGACCTTAGCTGTCTCCGTTGTCTGCTCTGACGTGGTCTTCTTTAAACGTGTGCACCACTAGTAGACTGATATGCTGAGTGTTCGTAGAGCTCGTTCACATTCTACTTTAAAAACTAAAGACCCTCAGTACACCGCTCCAAGTAAGGATTCTTCCAGTGTAGTTATTGATGGTGAATGTACCACACAACAGTGACAGGGGCTTATGTGGATGCAAAATTCAAAAGATTATGACTGTACATTTTAGGTTTGTGGATGAAAGGATATTATTACTACTTGCAAATAAGGACATTTTATTTAGACTAGTAAATCATAGTTTATATGTTTTGGCTTCTGAACATACACTTGGATGACAGACACCTCCTGGAAGCTGTTTGTCTCATTGGTCTGAATGTGCACGTATCACAAGCTTGGATGTAGAAATAAAATTATTTGGTTTGCTTCTGCTGCAACTTCTCCAGACTTCTGTTCTCTGTTGAACTTGTGACCTGCAATAGCATGAGTGTCCAATCCTGGTCCTAGAGTGCCACTATGTGAGTTTAAGATGTTTCTCTGCGGTAACCTGTTTTGAATCTGGTGAAATACAGGCTCCTGTAGAATATGAAGAGGTCATTCAACCATTGAATCAAGTGTGTTTGAGCAGGGAAACAATTAAAACATGCAGGATGGTTGCCCTCCAAGATCAGGATGGACAGTCCTGTTCTACAGAATATATTGCTATTTATTGTTATATATTTACCTGTAACTACACAAGTCAGCTTTTAGTAAGTAAGTAAGTAAAATTTATTTATAAAGCGCTTATCACAGACATAAAATCACAAGTATTTGGTTAAAATCTGACAAAGATACACAGGAGCCATTTAAAGCTCTGTACATCAGCACAAGAACTTTGACACTGATTCTAAACTCGACTGGGAACCAGTGTAGTGAATACAGAACCAGAGTGATGTGACAGTATTTGCTGGATTTGGTGAGAAGTCTGGCAGCTGTGTTCTGTATCACTTGTAGACGTGAGACAGAAGACTTGTCCAGGCAGGTAAAAAGGACATCACAGTCGTCCACACGTGATGACACAAAAGTGTGAATAATTTTCTCTAGATCAACTCTGGAGACCACAGGTCATATTTTAGAAATGTTTCTTAAATGAAAGAAACAAGAACGGGAAATATCTCTAATGTGAGACTCAAAACCTAATGATGAGTCAAATGTGACTCCTAATTTTTTACTTTTGATTTGGCTACTGAGCAGAAAGAGACAATTGTCTGATTGATTTTTGGGTGAAGGTGACTGGGAGCAGTAATCAAAGTCTCTGTCTTACTGGTGTTTAAAACCAGGAAGTTACTGGCAAGCCAGTCACTGATACGGGACAAACATTGAACTAGGATGGCCAATTTATCCAGCTGGTGTGGTCTAAATTAAAAATACAACTGAATGTCATCAGCATAAATGTGATAGGAAATATCAGAAAAGGATTGAATAATGTTGGCAAGTGGGATAATATAAAAGGAAAACAAAAGTGGACCCAGAACTGAGCCTTGTGGCACCCCACAAGTTAAGGGGGCATAATCAGAGGAGAACCTGTCCGTCTTGATGCAGAAAGTTCTGTGAGATAGGTATGATGTGAGCCAGTCCAAAGCTGAGCCAGAATTACCAGCCACAACCTTCAGTCTGTTTAACAAGGTCAGTGGTATCAAAGGCAGCACTAAGATCTAATAGAACCAACACAGAGCATTTTCCTTCATCAGAAGCCATTAACAGATCGTTGTGGACTTTTACCAGAGCAGTTTCAGTGGAATGGTGTTTTAGAAAACCAGACTGAAAGGGATCGGAGATCTTTAACTGACAGAACCAGGATCTGAGTTGGGTTTCTACAACTTTTTCAAGTAATTTACTGAGAAAAGGCAGTTTAGAGATGGGACAGAAGTTGGAAAGGGAGCCAGAATCAAGGTTAGGCTTCTTTAAGAGAGGGGTCACTTCTGCTGTTTTAAAATACAATGGGACGAACCCTTTGTTCAGAGAGTTGTTAATTATCATCAACACTGTTGGACCATACCGTACCATTTTATTTATAGAGCACTTAAAACAGCAACAAGGCCAACCAAAGTGCTGTACAGACAGAACAACAGGTAACACACAAAGCAAAATACAAAATGAGGTAAATCAGAAATAAAGACGTAAAAACGATGCAGATAATAAATATGACGACAAACCAGTGTGGAGCGTACAAGATCAAAACACAGATCCTCTGGTGTTGAAAGCTACTGAATAGTAGTGAGATTTTAAACGGGATTTGAAAACTGAAAGGGAGGGGGCCAGTCTAACAAGCAGAGGTAACTCGTTCCAAAGTCTTGGTCCTGCTACAGAGAAGGCCCTGTCACCTCTGCGCTTAAGACGAGTTCCTGGAACTGTGAGGAGCAACTGGTCCGCTGACCTCAGGGAACGTGGTGGGACATACGGTTGTAGCAGATCAGAGAGATGGGGGGGGGGG